CCGCGGCCACTGGAAGCTGTGGGTTGCCGTGCCTGTGTACGGTCAATGTAAACCATCTCGTGGCCCACCATCAGATTACCCTGACAGGCCGCAGGTTGTCCACCATTGCTGTAGAGGGGCCTGCCTGGAAAGGATTCCCCCTCATCAAGTCACAACAGAGGGGTGGCTGCACCAAACTGAAAAGGTGATCCTTGCCTAGGCACCCTGTGTGCATTGGTTGATCCAGGGTTGATTTCTGTTGGCGCGACTGCACTCATTGACCCTAGTTAAAGCCACCCCTGCTATTCAGGCAAGAGACTCATTCTATATTTGCACAGGGCATACATAGCATCACAGGGCATTGAAGTTGGAGACTTTGGCAGCTACCGCAATGAGAATATTTTTAGATTTATTTGTAATCTCTACTCCTTAAAGGTGCCAACTCTATTAGTGACAAAGCAGTTATTACTAAGATTATAGAAAAAGCGGTTGATGGAAGAATTACAATGAAAAAAGTAATTTTTCATACAAACAAGAAATTTGCTTTCCTTAAACTGCATGCATAATGGATACAATCAACATTATACCAAACAATGACCTACTTTGTTTCCTTACAGCTATTCTCTTTATGTTTAATTCCACATAATTCTTAATTTGTGTATTCCTTTAATCCCACTACCAACACTATTCCCACACACAAAAAAACAATGCATTGCTATTAGGGCTGTCGATTACTCGCAGTTAACACATGCAATTGACTCAAAAAATTAATTGCAATTAATCGCACTGTTTCAAATATATCTATTTCAATTACAACACAGAATACAAAAAGTACAGTGCTCACTTTGTTGATTACAAATATTTGCACTGTAAAAAACAAAAGAAATAGTATTTTTCAATTCACCCAATACCAGTACTGTAGTGCAATCTCTTTATCTTGAAAGTTGAATGTACAAATGTAGAATTATGTACAAAAAAAATCTGCATTCAAAAATAAAATGTAAAAGTTTAGAGCCAGTAAGTCCTCTCAGTCCTACTTCTTGTTCAGTCAATCGCTCAGACAAACAAGTTTGTTTACATTTCCAGAAGATAATGCTGCCTGCTTCTTGTTTACAATGTCACCTGAAAGTGAGAGTGTTTGCATGGCACTGTTGTAGCCCACGTCACAAAATATTTACATGCCAGATGCACTAAAGATTCATATGTCCCTTAATGCTTCAATCACCATTCCAGAGGACATGCATCCATGCTGATGATGGGTTCTGCTCAATAACAATCCAAAGCAGTGCGGACTGCTGCATGTTCATTTTCATTATCTGAGTCAGATGCCACCAGCAAAAGATTGATCTTTTTGGTGGTTTGGGTTCTGTGATTTCCGCATTGATGTGTTGCTCTTTTAAGACTTCTGAAAGCATGCTCCACACCTCATTCCTCTCAGATTTTGGAAGGCACTTCAGATCCTTAAACCTTGGGTCGAGTGCTGTATTTATCTTTAGAAATTTCACATTGGTATCTTCTCTGCATTTTGTCAAATTTGCAGTGAAAGTGTTCTTAAAACGAACAACACGTGCTGGGTCATCATCCAAGACAGCTATAACAGGAAATATATGGCAGAATGCAGGTAAAACAGAGCAGGAGACATACAATTCTCCCCCAAGGAGTTCAGTCACAAATTTAATTAATGCACTATTTTTTTAAACAAGCGTCATCAGCATGGAAGTATGTCCTCTGGAATGATGGCCGAAGTAAGGAGAGGCATATGAATCTTTCGCACATTTGGCATGTAAATATCATGCGACACCAGCTACAACAATGCCATGTGAATGCCTGTTCTCACTTTCAGGTGACATTGTAAACAAGAAGCAGGTAGCATTATCTTCTGTAAATGTAAACAAACTTGTATGTCTGAGCGATTGACTGAACAAGAAGTAGATTGAGTGGACTTACTGGCTCTAAACTTTTACGTTGTTTTATTTTTGAATGCAGATTTTTTTGTACATAATTCTACATTTGTACATTCAACTTTCATGATAAAGAGATTGCACTACAGTACTTGTATTAGGTGAACTGAAAAATACTATTTCTTTTGTTTTTTACAGTGCAAATATTTGTAATAAAAATAAAAATAAAGTGAGCACTGTACACTTAGTATTCTGTGTTGTAATTGAAATCAATATATTTGAAAATGTAGAAAACATCCAAAATCATTTAAATAAATGGTATTCTATTATTGTTTAATCGTGATTATTTTTTTTAAATCGCTTGACAGCCCGAATTGCTATTAAACAAAAAGAGACCAGCAACCCTACTCTCCAAAAGCACTTGCACAAACTAGAGCTGTCTTGGTAAGGGATAGGAAAGCAGTTTTCTTTTAATATATGAAAACATGCAAACAAGTGACAGTGTTTTAAGGGGGGGGGGAAGGGAAGAGTTAACTAAACACAACTCAAACATATTTACCTTTTCTATTATAATTCCACCTCTGAAGTCTGAATAAAGTCCCTTTGAAAATGCAAAGGTCTGTTTATCACAATTTGCAGGAAAACTTCACCAGCATATTGATAGAAACAAAAAGATCAGTAGAAAGGAAAACCTATTTTCTCATATCACCTGTATTGAATGTTTTTATAAACAGATCCTCTTCAAAATTTTGTTTTTTAACTCTGATTGTTATTCATCTTGTGAATCCTTAATATGCACAGGGAAGATGCCATGAGAATTAAAAAGCCAAAGATGGTCTTACTGCAACTAGACCTCTAAGGCTTGAATCTTACAGAAAAAAAGGAGAAATGCTTACCATTACAGCAATGTTTTACTCTGAACATACACTGCTCAATATAATACTGCCAAAAAAAAAAAAAATGTAAACCTCGCCAAAAACTTTTGGCTTTTTGAGGAAAGGAAAACTTAAGAACTGTTCAAACCTACTTTGAAAATAACTAAAGAAAGCAAAAGGCTCACTGACTCTGGAAAGCCACTTATATAAGAATGTTTTTATAAACAGATCCTCTTCAGATCAGACTTGCATCTGAAGAAGTGAGGTTCTTACCCACGAAAGCTTATGCTCCCAGTACTTCTGTTAGTCTCAAAGGTGCCACAGGACCCTCTGTTGCTTTTTACAGATTCAAACTAACACTGCTACCCCTCTGATACTTATATAAGAATGTACTGCAAGCTCTGAAATCAATTAGGAAAAGATAACAGTGGTAACTAGCAACAGGAAATATAGAATATAGGTAGTATTTTCTTTTCACCACCATAGATATTTGAAGGGATAAATGAATAGGCTACTGATGGGGTAATTTAACAGGAAGGTAGTTTGTTGCCATCAAACCTTAAATAGCTCAAGGAAGCTTCCAAGCTTGGTTGCACATTTGTAATGTCGACCAAAACTGGACATAAACGCGAATTTTATCAACTTGCAGGCATTGCTTTCTCTAAATGGTAGCAGATATCTTTGCAAGAAACAACATATGCAGCTACAAATACACAAGTCCCCATGCAAAGGAAGGGATGGAGAGAAGGAGCCTAAGTGACTGAGGTATCTTGGTGGGGGAGCACGGAGTGTACCCCGATGACTGAGTAAACCGGTTGTGGGAGGTCTTGTGAGAGAAGAAAAGTGTGTGATACTGTGTGTAGCCCAGTGACCTCCCGAGCCAGCCCAGGGGCGAGGGGAGCGCGCAACTCAGTGACTGCCCGAGCCTGATGGGGGGAGGAGATGGCGTTAAGGGTGTAAACTGTGACTGACTGACCCGGGTGGTCACCGAGCCGGCTCCGGGAGGGCGGCGGGGGCCTTACCTGAGACAGCTGCCTGGGGTTGGGGCAACCGAAGAGCGCGGAGCTGGAGCTGAAGCTGATGGCCCCTCTGCGGCTGAGGACATGCTGCGGGACCGGCCTGTCCAGGGGCAGCACCGGTAACTGGTAACATACTTCCATTGAAGAGCCTCTGCGCTCCGAGCCGCGCCAGGGCACCGGCCGCCGCACCTGCCTGAGCCGGGAATCGCCGCAGTGCAATGGGGGGCGGGGGCAGCAAACGTGCCAGAAGAGCCAAACCCCGCAATTAAAACACAGAGGGGCCCGGCTCCACCTCACCGCCCTCTCCCCGGCGTCGGGTCTGGCCGGGCCCCCCCTCCTCTGCCCCCGAGATAGGGTGACTAGATGTCCCGATTTTACAGGGACAGTCTTGATATTTGAGGCTTTGTCTTCTATGGGTGCCTATTACCCCCCACCCCCGTCCCGATTTTTCACACTTGCTCTCTGGTCACCCTACCCCAAGAGTCACGTCTGGGCGGGCCGGTTCCTCCCCGGAGCCCGCAGGGGTCCTTAAGCAGCAGCCGCCGCAGGGGGGCGGGGAAGCGGGGCCGGCAGTTGAGTGCTGTCAAGGAAGGAGGCGGCGAGCCCCGGGCCGAGCACCGCAACGCGGCCGCTGCCTCCCGCTGTCTCTGCTGCCGGAGGGAGCCGCTGTCGCTGCTAGCCCCGCAGCCGGGCCGTCCGGGCGCCGCTCATGGAGGTGGGCGCTGGTGCCCGGGGGGCCGCTTTGGGTGAGACACACTCGGCACTGCTATTGTCCAGCACGAGGAGGCGGCGCGCGCTCCTGGCGGGAGGGGCCGGGGCGCTGCGGTCCCGAGCGAGCCGAGGGTGAGGGTGGAGCCAGCGGGAAGGAGGGATCCTGCGCCCGTGCCGCCCCCACTAAGAACAGCCCCGAGCGCAGTCGCCCAGGAGGAGGCACGAGCCGGACGGACTCTGTGTGTGCGTGTGTGTATCTCCGCAACGCGCAAGCCCGGCCGGCTCCACGCAAACCGTCATCACGTAACGGCGAGGGGGGGGATGTTTTGGAGGCGAACGGTGCGATCCGGGCCAGTTCGTCTCTCTTGTGCGCCTGCGCGATATTTTCGCGCCTTGGAATCTTTTTGCCCTGTTAGGGAGGGTTGCAAGTGGAGCGCGCGCCTAACCCCATTGGTGAAGGGGGGGTGAGAGAGGGGGAAGAGATACAAGAACGTTTCATGCACGTGGTAGCGGCCCTTCTAATCTCAGCCCAGGCGCGCTCCTGCTCTCGACGTGCGGCCCAGGCCCGAGTTCGGGGGTGTGACGTTAGCACGGGCAGCGGCTCCACGTTAGACCCCCCACCAGGCGGGCATCAGGGCTGCCAGCCAGATACGGGGCAGCTCTGTTCTGCAGCATCTCAAGCCTGTCGGATTCCAGTGGGAAACAGCAACCCGCTGAGCTGGAGCTGCAGGTACAGCCCTGGCAGGTGACCATAGGTCCTTGTTTTCTGGGGACAGTCCCTGACTGAGGTACTGTATCCCTAGGCAAACAATATCCCCAGAAGAGTCCCCAGTTCACAAAACTTGTCCCCGAATACTGTTGTGATGTGAATACCCTTTCATATGTTGGTTATTTGGTTAATATGTCCAATGCATAAATAGTTAGAAATATCCAGAACATTTCTATTGTTATTATTACTATTAGCTATCATATAGATGGTACAGCATTATTGCAGTTGCCATAGCTACGACGATGGCTGAATGCTGTATGACATAGAACACAATTGAGATTCAGTGTAAAGTGAAAATGGAGTTGTCGAAAAAGCATAAATGCTGCTTTAACAACCCAGCTTCCAAAGGATTTTCCATATTTATGACCAACTGGAAAAGAAACATCAGTATTATATTCAATATGCTAGGCAATATTTTCCATTTTGAGTGGAGGCAGGACATCTATAAAAGAACAGGAAGGTGCCATTAGACGCAAAGCTGCTCTGACAGCACATGCTAGTTCAACTTCTGTTACCAATTTTTTTCACAAAAGTTGAGCAAACACAGTGAGTATGACTTTGCTTTTCCAAAAGGAATATATGCATATCATACTATTAGACATCATCACAGTTTCAGATTAATGGACTGTACTTCCAATTTAAATAAAAAAATTCAGCAACCCCAAATTCTCGTGTGCCCTGACAAAGTGTGAAGCAATAGTTGCAAATGTTTTTGTTCCATGGGCAAATGATGAACTACCTGAAGTATGTTGAATATGTGTCAGTGTCTGCAAACATCGAATCACAAACATAAAATTGCTTCCTGTCTTAGTTTACTATTTCAAGGTTTATGAAGGCTTTTCATGTGTGCAAACTAAATTTGTGGATTTTGTTGAACTTTTGCTGAAGGAGAGACATCAGAACTTATTGCAGCTGAGATAAAAATATTATGAATAAGTATGGAATCGAAAGTAAGGTGGTGGCATTCTAAGAAGATAATACAAACAGAAACTTTGGCAGCATATACAGATGTGTGGAGGGGTGGAATTTACACACCAAAGTAAAGACAAGCTTTAAAAGTGAAGTGGTAGGCCTTGGATGCGTTGCTCACAACTATGCCCCAACAGCAAGAGATGCAATCCCAGTAGACGTTGAGAGCATTCCAATTAAGATTTTTGGATATTTTCATGTATTCACTGTTCGTGTGGAAAGACTGAAAAGTTTCTAAGAGTATGAGGGACAAGAATATCAGAGTACTGGGATACAGTAATGTCAGATGGCTGTTGATATTACTTGCTTTAGAGAGGATCCTTCAACATTATGAGTCGTTGAAGTCATTTTACTTGTCAGATGAAAAGTGTCCAGAAGTTCTTCAAAAAATATTTGAAGACCCATGTACCAAACTCTGGCTTGCTTTTAGCCATGCAAACATGACACTTTTTCATCTCACAATCAAATCACTTGAGGGACATGATCACTGTGCAGTGGAGTCAGACGGTATCTTAAACAATCTTGAAAAGAAGCTGGTTACAAGGGATGAAGAAGACTTTGTGTCTGGTTTAGTGAGAAAACTACTTAGAGCAGTGGTCCCCAAACTTTTTACCTCATGCCCCCCTTACCACTCCCCACCCCTGAGCCAGGGCCAGGAGCAGGGCCATGGTTCCGGAATAGGGGGATGTGGACAGGGATAAGGGGGCCAATGCTATGGCCACAGCTGAGGGCGGGGCCGGGAGTGGAACAGGGGCTGGGGCCAGGAGCAGAGCTGGGTGGCGTGGGGGCTGGCCCAGGCCCCATCTATGCACCCCCCAGTTTGGGGACCTCTGACTTAGAGACCTAGAAGAAGCAGACATCATGGTACCTTAATGTGTCAAGATCTTTCCTCAGTGCAGCCATAAAATACATACATGCATGGGGAAAGCATACAGATGATTTGAGAGATTTGAAGTGTCTACTTTTAAAGAAAGTTCCTTTACAATCTGAGATTGAAACAGCAGCTGAGTTACTGCTGAAGAAATGCCAGAATGTGACAATTAATGGGGATGCACTGTTTGATGAAGTAACTCTGTTAAATGAATTTATGACAGGGAAACTGTGAATGGAATGACACAACTACAGCGATCACAGTATGTGGCAGATGGGATGAAGTAAACAAGCATTTCAGGGAATCCTCAGTACCACACACAAATATAAATTTAAAAAATGGCAGAACTGATCCTGGGCCTGCCTGCAGTAGTGCTTCAGTTGAGAGGGTGTTTTCTGTCACGAATGACCTGTAGACAGCAGAAAAATCCGGGTGCAACATTGAAATTGTGAAAGCCATTCTCATTGTCAAAACAATCTCCATTTTGCCCTGTCTTGAGTTCTTCAACAAACTGAGCAAGAACATTAAAATTCTAAAACAAATACACTCATCAGGGAAATACAGCTATTAATCCAGCAAGCTTTTCTGGTGCTGCCAGCATCGGGAATACTGGTGAGTACAATTTCTTATGTGGGTCCCAGGGTGGGAGTTTTCCATCTATAAACTATTTCTATATCCTAGCCATTTTTGGGGAACTCAGAAAAATTAAGAGGGACTCTTGTATTACTACCCTGTTTCCCCGAAAATAAGACAGTGTCTTATATTAATTTTTGCTCCCAAAGATGCGCTAGGTCTTATTTTCAGGGGATGTCTTATTTTTCAATGAAGAAGAATACGGTACACATCGGTGGATGCCTTATTATCGGGGAGGTCTTATTATCGGGGGGATGCCTTATATTACAACGAGAGGCAAAACTGTAAGTAGGCCTTATTTTCGGAGGATGTCTTATTTTCGGGGAAACAGGGTATACATATAAACTGTTTAAAACCATTGTGTTTGTAGTTTTATAATGTGCCACTAGGTGGTGAATGTCATTTCTGTTAATTCTCATTTAAATTATTGCACTCTTTATATCCACATTATTGTCGATTGTGTGGCTGTGTGATGGTTGATGGAGGTTAATCTCTACGTGGATTCTACTAGCAGAAGCAATAAAGTCATACTGGTTTTCTTGAAATATGGAGATAACACTGCACTCATTGATAAATCTATGAAACATAAATGGCTTTGGCAGTGGTGTGACAAAAGAGATTCTTTAAATAGTCTGTATGGACAGTGGGTACAGAAAACTCACGTTCCTGAACGGTATTTCTGTATCTTTTGGAACTGGTGTCTGAATGCGCTTCTTTAGTAATGTCACATCCACAGTGATTGTATACATATTTGTTTTGTATTTGTAGTTTATATGTGCAACTGTTAAAATATAAGCTGCTAAAAAAATTTGCTTCGCTAAGCTCCACAACTTACATTTTTAGTCTTGGCTACTTTGCTCTGCTCCCACCCCTGTGTGTCCCCAGATTGGTTTACAAAATATGGTCACACCCTATAGTGGGCTCTAGAGAAGCCCCAGTTAGGAGGCAGAATCAGCAACTAAGTGAGAATTGAAGGGGGCTGAATGGGGGAGGATCTTGAAATGGACAGAATGGGGCCCAGAGACTACTACAAAGGAACAGAAGGGAATGGGGAAGGCTGCCCTAAACCCCTCAGGCCCAGGTGCCCGCTACCCCCCAGATCTCAGACTGTCCCACCTTGTTTTCCCCAGAAGACATTCCCTCACCCAAAAGCCTCTGTTAGAGAGCTTATTCCTTCACTCTCCCACTTCCCTGGTCCTTCTCGCGTGAACAGAGAGCAATAATACCCGAAGTCCGAAGGTTTATTGGGGTGAACTTTCAGCAAGCTTAAATCCAAGTTCCTTTTTCCTTATTTTTGAATCCCAACTACTTCCTGTTTGCCCCTGTAGTGAGGCCGTGTGGCTCCCCTCCTGCCCGGAAGAGGGAGCCCACGTGCAGGCACCAGAGTGGGTGGAACCACCACCGCCTGTCGTGTCCGTCCGTGTCTTCCCCCCCCCCCCCCGAACGTCAAGGGGCGGGACAGGAAGTATAAAGGCCGGCCGCCAGAGCTCAGTCGGCGGCCAGCCACCGCAGGGAGCAGACGTGTGGCCGGGAGCTCCTGGCCAGGAGACCGCCGAAGACCGAGGCCTGGACCCTAGCTGGCCCGAGCTACCCCGGGCACGCTACGAGGAGGAGCCCGTCTGCTCCCGTCACTGGGAGAATCCCTGGGAATCCCACCAACCCTGAGGGTGAGACTGTACCCGAACCCCTCCGCCCCTGCTGCTACCCAGAGGAGCCGACTGAGGACCATTGGCCTGACTTCCCAGCAGAGCTACCGGACCTGCCACCGAGCCCTGGCAGAGAGGAGCCCATGCAGATGGACTGGCCCGAGCCCGGCGCGACGAACGAGGTAGGCTTTGAGGGGGATCGTGGAAGCAGCCCGGGGGTAGCCGACCCCGGTCCGGCTGCAACCGAGTGTGAGCCTATGTCAGTGTGTTGCGGTCTGGATACCCCACTGACCAGCAGCGGCAGTAACCGCTGCTAGGGCCCTGGGCTGGAACGCAGTAGAGTGGGTGGGCCTGCGTTCCCCCT